TTGTAGAAACAAATACAATTGATCCTTGAACAATCCTTGTATCAACAAATACAATGGACCCTTGAACAATTCTTGCAATGGACAAATACAAAGGACCCTTGAACAATTCTTGTAGCAACAAATACACTGGACCCTTGAACAATCCTTGTAGCAACAAATACACTGGACCCTTGAACAATTCTTGTATCAACAAATACAATGGACCCTTGAACAATCCTTGTATCAACAAATACAAAGGACCCTTGAACAATCCTTGTAGAAACAAATACAATTGATCCTTGAACAATCCTTGTATCAACAAATACAATGGACCCTTGAACAATTCTTGTATCAACAAATACAATGGACCCTTGAACAATTCTTGTATCAACAAATACAATGGACCCTTGAACAATTCTTGTATCAACAAATACAAAGGACCCTTGAACAATTCTTGTATCAACAAATACAATGGACCCTTGAACAATTCTTGTATCAACAAATACAATGGACCCTTGAACAATCCTTGCAGCAACAAATACAATGTATACTGCAATAAAAATATCTAGAAATACCATGGATCCTTGACAAATCCTTGTATCAACAATACCATGGATCATTAGGCAATCCTGGTATCAACAAATACCATGGATCATAAGACACTCCTCGTATCAACAATACCATGGATCATCAGACACTCCTCGTATCAACAAATACCAATGGATCATCAGACACTCCTCGTATCAACAATACCATGGATCATCAGACACTCTTCGTATCAACAAATACCATGGATCATAAGACACTCCTCGTATCAACAATACCATGGATCATCAGACACTCCTCGTATCAACAAATACCAATGGATCATCAGACAATCCTTGGACTCTCGCAGGCTTTTACGCAATGCATAAATGTACGTCCATTACACAGAACTGAACATTGTGTCCCCTGGGACGCTCAATAACATAATAATGATGATAATAATAATGAGCCCATTCATATAGCGCTAAACTCCACACCAGGTATGCTCATAGCGCTAACCATGAATAAAGAGTTAATGAAGTCCATTGATATAAAACGTTTTGCAGAGAAAGGTTTTGAGATGATGCTTAAAGTTTTCAAGCGTTGGAGACAGTGTGCACTGTTCAAACTTCAGGACAAGAAACCAAGTTCATGTAATTAGCAGGGATTTACCTTCAGTCCTGTATTTGAGGGTCCCTGGGACTCATACTCTTAATTTTCAAGGGTCCTGGGTAGTGGTGGTCCGATTAATTGAAATATTCGAAGATTGGTCGCAATGACAAAACAACCAAGCAATCGATCATGTTTTTTCATAATCGAACACAATCAATTTTGGAACATTTTTTTGCAATAACAATATTTTTCACAAGGTTGGTTTTGTCTGTTAGATTTCATTAGCACTACAAGATTACTTGATCGACATTTAAAAAAAAAAGTATTTGGACTTTTTTCTCGTCAACATGGACGCGCTAATTAATTTCGATGCATCCATTGTCAATTGTTATGCGTATAGGACACATTAATTCATGTCCTGTAAATCCCTGAATTAGAATAATCACTAAATCTTACTGAACAGTCTACCACATCACCCCTGAGCCCCTCCTAGATTCCACGATTCCAGAATAAATTGTGGAAATTACCTTTTGATGTAGAAAGTCCGCAGAAAATGTATTTTTATGCAGAATACCTTCAGAATTTCCCATTTTTCTGCCGTGGAATTGACTTATTTCGAAAGTTGAATCAAGATTGACTATCAACCGAAGTAGAGGTAGATGTCACAAGTATGACTGATTTAAGCGCCACTGAGCAGCAAAAGTTGGAAGGAAGGTGCTATACAAATCAGTTATTATCTATTTTTATTTATTATTTATTTATACAAAAAACGAAAGGAGACATTTTTTATAATGATATTTTTCAAAATATTCACGAATAAAGATGATTTATTGATAAAGTAATCTTTTCTTAAGCACCTTAGAATAATATTATTTGAATCTGAAACTGCAATTATGTTCACAAAATCAGATAAAATTTCATTATTTTGATGCTTTTAACTGCAGAATTTTGAGAAATGGGATGCAAAATTTACTTAAATTTGCCACAGAATTCTGAAAAATTCATCCCGGAATGCAGAAGGGACTGATTTCATTACTGTACATAACCATCGTATATCATGTACAGACCCTTGAAATTAGTGAGTGGACACTGACACTGCAATTATGTTCACAAAATCAGATAAAATTTCATTATTTTGTTGCTTTTAACTGCAGAATTTTGAGAAATGGAATGCAGAATTTACTTAAATTTGCCACAGAATTCTGAAAAATTCATCCCGGAATGCAGAAGGGACTGATTTCATTACTGTACAGAACCATCGTATATCATGTACAGACCCTTGAAATTAGTGAGTGGACACTGACACTGCAATTATGTTCACAAAATCAGATAAAATTTCATTATTTTGTTGCTTTTAACTGCAGAATTTTGAGAAATGGGATGCAGAATTTACTTAAATTTGCCACGGAATTCTGAAAAATTCATCCCTGAATGCAGAAGGGACTGATTTCATTACTGTACAGAACCATCGTATATCATGTACAGACCCTTGAAATTAGTGAGTCCTGTGGACCATAATTTTGTTGGTCAAGGTATAACCCTGGTCTTGAACAATCAACACTTCTCCAAATACACTTTTAGTTCTACTCAAACGATCAACGATCAGTGAGTGAGTGAGTGAGTGAGTTAGTTTAGTTTTACACCGCTTTTAGCAATATTCCAGCTATATCACAGCGGGGGACACCAGAAATTGGCTTCACATATTGTACCCATGTGGGGAATCGAACCCGGGTCATCGGCGTGACGAACGAACGCTTTAACCACTACGCTACCCCACCGTGCCCCCATCATCAACATGTAGACAATCATTGAGTCAACAAATGCAGTGGACCCTTAAACGTGTTAAACAATCATGGCATCGACAAATGCACTGCCACTTGGACAGTCATGACATTATCAAATACACTGGTCCCTGGAACAACCCTGGTGTCCACTAGTACCCTGGGCCTTTAGACAATCCTTCATGTTAGCAATGAACACACTATACAAGCAATATATCATGAACAGTATGGACGAATCTGTGACACATGGCGGTGGTGGTAACAGAATATACAACCACATATATAGACAGCAGAGATGAATCTGTCACATGTGGTGGTGGTAACAGAACCATACAACCACAGATATAGACAGCAGAGATGAATCTGTCACACGTGGCGGTGGTAACAGAAAATACAACCACAGATATACAAAGATGAATCTGTGACACATGGTGGTGGTAACAGAATATACAACCACAGATATAGACAGCAGAGATGAACCTGTCACATGTGGTGGTGGTAACAGAACATACAACTACAGATATAGACAGCAAAGATGAATCTGTGACACGTGGCGGTGGTAACAGAACATACAACCAGAGATATAGACAGCAAAGATGAATCTGTGACACGTGGTGGTGGTAACAGAATATACAACCACAGATATACACAGCAGAGATGAATCTGTGACACGTGGTGGTGGTAACAGAATATACAACCACAGATATACACAGCAGAGATGAATCTGTCACACGTGGTGGTGGTAACAGAATATACAACCACAGATATACACAGCAGAGATGAATCTGTCACACGTGGCAGTGGTAACAGAATATACAACTACAGATATAGACAGCAGAGATGAATCTGTGACACATGGTGGTGGTAACAGAATATACAACCACAGATATAGACAGCAGAGATGAATCTGTCACACGTGGTGGTGGTAACAGAATATACAACCACAGATATAGACAACAGAGATGAATCTGTGACACATGGCGGTGGTAACAGAATATACAACTACAGATATAGACAGCAGAGATGAATCTGTGACACATGGCTGGTGGTAACAGAATATACAACCACAGATATAGACAGCAGAGATGAATCTGTGACACATGGCGGTGGTAACAGAATATACAACCACACACAACAGATATGAATTTGTGACGCACGGTGGTGGTGACAGAATATACAACCAACTTAGCACCTTAACGAGCACAATGTGAAATTGTATATTCTGCGCAATTATCCACCTCTATAGTCAATGAATGTAGTACACAAACATACAAATTAGTATTGATCTAAGGGAGGTATGGGCTGTGTTCATGGGGGGTCAACAGGACTAATACACACTGCATAGTCAGTGAATATTGTCTGTATACACCACGCATATCCAAACACAAATTACACTAGTGTGATATGGGGCGATAAGGAATGACAGTGGGTGGGCCTTCATTTTAAGTATGGGAAACATTAAACATACAGGTACATACCATGCGCAGTGATTTCTACAAACCCTTAATATTAACGTATGGTATGGATTTACAACTTCTTTAATATTTACAACACAACATTTCTGGGCTACTTCTTGCCCCTTCATCAGGTGAATGTAAATCCATACCATATCTTGCTGTCTTAATATTAACATTTACACAGAATATTAGAACCAATAGCTTACGTCTAAGAAACCAAACTGTCAAATAAAGAAATACATGTTTCTCAACAGACATTAGAAAACAAAACATGCCGAATATCTTTGTATGGAGGAGTAGAGTGGTAACTGGTTGTGGAACAGACGACAACTTGAAGCCTTGACCCTTATCTGAAAGTTGGTATTTAAAAACATAAATATCTCACGTATTACATGACAAGTTATAAACATCTTGAATGGCGTTATGCCAGGTAGGAATTTGTTTCTGTGCCGGTATCCGCAAACTTGTCCCCACTTCCCCTCTTTCAATCCTTCCTTCTTTGTATCCATGAAGAAAGGAAGGAAGAAAGCTGCTATCTGGTCAGTGAAATCTGATCAAGCACCTGCACAAACTGCTCGGAAACACATACCTCTTGACACGCTACAACACTTATGAGTTGCACTTTTTCTACTTAAACAACACAAACCTCAGTTTTGGTGATTCGGTGTTTCGCTAGTTTCACAACAGCGAAATTGCCTTTTCCGATCGTGCGTTCTATATCGTAAAATCCAACCCGGATCTGCCCCTTGGCTCGATCGGCCATGACCATATCTCCTCGTCAGAGGATCAAGCTGCATATTTCTTTACTCCACATAGTTTTAAAGCGAGTGTGAAGAACTGTTCCACCTTTACAAGCCGACATCTTTCACTCAATCACAACTTGCATGGCGCTAGCAGCCTAAATCCTCTGTGACGTATCTGTGACGTCAAAACAACTCAGTATTGAATTCGCAGGCCGAGTTTCGTATTTGCTGGTTGCTATGTTGCTCAGGCAATATTCTAGGCCACGCAAATTTACTGTTAAAACAACACTGTGTGTTAATCACGAACGCGAGTTTGTTCCTTTAAATGGAGACATAATGGATGAGCATGAACGGTATGTTTCACCGTTGCGTAATATCTTCCGTACAGGCGAACATATGGCATTGTTTATAGGTGAATATATAAGCTTATCGCCCACCGACAAATATCATTTTCATATTTGTTTACTTGGTTTTTTAACATTGTAGAAAACCTAATGTGAATCTGCATTTATCATGTGATATTAAAATGCAATTTCGTTTAATTATATTTTTAAAGTTTTGGGTAATTAAAGCAATATTTGCACATAAATGACATTTTTTGCTATAATAATCATAATAATGAAAGTTTTTATGTTGTCTTTTTCAATAAATAATGATAATTTACAGAAACGTCATAATATAGGCAACACATGTGTACATGAAATTAACTTATGGAAAATATCATTTAAACAAGCAGCATGCAAATTAGTTTTATTCCCCATTTCATCGAATTCTTAATTTAACTGTACGTTGAGTTTACTCCTAGGAACCTTTTTAGCCCTGTGAGATAAACAATTCTGTTCTCAACATCATAATCACTTTCCGACAAAACACTTCACGCGATCTACGACAATTTGATTGTGGGAAAACAGATTTGTTATTACATCGGTTTCTCTGCCTATTCCGTTCAGCGCGAGACGGCCCCCCAAACAGGCAACGGAGCTTACCAGCGTGACGTCACAAAACACCACGCGCTGGACTGAACGCTAACCAGACAAGACCTCGCTTGGGGTCTGTGCATAGTTCTTCGATTGAATCAATGCGACTAGGTACCAGGTTAAAAATAAACCCAGGATATATAGCTACAACGAGAAGGCATGATCTGAGACGCTACCAACGGAATGCATATATCTATAGGTAAAGGTAGTCGTTGGCGTTGAGGATAGGGGTGGGGAGGAGAGGGAGTTTGGAGGAGAGGGGTGGGGGTGGGGGTTCGGTATACGGAGGGCGTTAGCAGTTAATTCTATCGTTGCCCGCTGATACGAGTGTACAGTAAGTGCATTGTTATGGAACTCGTCTATGAATAGCTTCTGCGACGAGTGTGTGTCCCAATATATCGACCCTTTGTGACGTCACGCTAGCATGACGTCACAATGGCTCAGCATTTAAAGATAGGCCCAAGTTAGCTTCAATGTGACGTCATAGAGTACTTGTTCATCGGCTGTTATCGACTTATTCCATTTTTGGAGGTAAAGGAATATTTTTAATTAAGATCTGTTGGTATAGCAACAAGGAGGTTTGTAGTGATAGTTATGTCGCGTGGACGAGGTCGCTAGGTGTTTCTGGAGGGTCGATGGAGCGTCTACTGTAGAGGGAGGGGGCGTTCAGAGATATTTGTTCCGTGGGGGTGATTTATAACTAGAATGTGACACCTGTGTTACGTGAGTTCGAGTTCGTGTGTACTGGCAGGCGGAGTACCTGACATTTATGTGTGATGGATTATTTTGGAAAATACATATATACAAACGTGGGTAAAATTTGAGGGAAAATATATTGTTTCTGGCTATAGTGATGATACGATATAGATGATGTCAATAAAATAACAGTAGACGTGGTAGATGACGATAGATGTAGTAGACGAAGTTTTAGTACATAGATGTAGTAGATGTAGTCGTAAATGTAGATGTAGTAGAAGTAGACGAGTTAGATGACGATCTAGATGTAGTAGACGAAGTTGTTGTACATAGATGTTGTAGGTGTAGTCGTAGATGTAGTAGATGTAGACGTGGTAGATGACGATGTAGATGTAGTTGATAAAGTTGTAGTGCATAGGTGTAGTAGATGTAGTCGTAGATGTAGTAGAAGTAGACGTGGTAGATGACGATGCAGATGGAGTAGATGAAGTTGTAGTACATAGATGTTGTAGATGTAGTCGTGTTTGTATTGGAAGTAGACGTGGTAGATGGCGATGTAGATGGAGTAGATGAAGTTTTAGTACATAGATGTAGTAGATGTAGTCGTAGATGTAGTAGAAGTAGACGAGTTAGATGACGATCTAGATGTAGTAGACGAAGTTGTAGGACATAGATGTTGTAGGTGTAGTCATGTTTGTATTGGAAGTAGACGTGGTAGATGGCGATGTAGATGGAGTAGATGAAGTTTTAGTACATAGATGTAGTAGATGTAGTCGTAGATGTAGTAGAAGTAGACGAGTTAGATGACGATCTAGATGTAGTAGACGAAGTTGTAGGACATAGATGTTGTAGGTGTAGTCATGTTTGTATTGGAAGTAGACGTGGTAGATGGCGATGTAGATGGAGTAGATGAAGTTTTAGTACATAGATGTAGTAGATGTAGTCGTAGATGTAGATGTAGTAGAAGTAGACGAGTTAGATGACGATGTAGATGGAGTAGATGAAGTAGGACATATATGTAGTAGAAGTAGACGTGGTAGATGACGATGTAGATGAAGTTGTCGTACATGGATGTAGTAGATGTAGTCGTATTTGTATTTGCAGTAGGCGTGGTAGATGGCGATGAAGACGTAGTAGAAACTAGTCCATGGATGTAGTAGATGTAGACGTAAAGTATCAGAAGTAGACGAGGTAGATGACGATGTAGATGTAGTAGATGAACTTGTAGTATATAGATGCTGTAGGTGTAGTCGTAGATGTAGTAGAAGTAGACGTGGTAGATGACGATGTAGATGTAGTAGATGAACTTGTAGTATATAGATGCTGTAGGTGTAGTCGTAGATGTAGTAGAAGTAGACGTGGTAGATGACGGTGTAGATGTGGTAGATGAGGTGAGGTGAGGTGAAATTGGGTTTATCGTCGTGCTTGAGAATATTTCGCTCATATGACGACGTGCATGCGTGTGTATGTGTATGTGCGGCTGCTTGTACTAGCCCAGACTGAAGCTGGTTTTATAGTGCTACCCCACTGAGATACCATGCCGCAGTGAAGCGTGAATACCCCACTCAGACACATTATACTGACTCCGAGCCGACCAGTCCTTGTTGTACCCATTAATGCCGAGCGCCAAGAAGGGACCAACAAGTACCATATTTTAACGTCTTTTGATATGACGCGGTCAGGGATCGATCCCGCGACCTTCCGCCCTCCGGGCGGACGCTCTAACCACTACACCACGGAGGCGGTTGTAGTAGATGAAGTTGTAGTACATGGATGGAGTAGATGTAGACCTAAATGTAGTACATGTCGCAGATGTAGATGTGGATCAAACTGCAGATGAATGTGTAGTACTTGAGCTGTGCATTAGAAAATACATTGTATTGTTATGGTGAAACATAACCAGTGTCATATACATCATATTACACATGTGCACATATCACTGTTGCCTAGCAACCATTGTTTCTGTATTTCGTCATCTGTGACGTCATTAAACAATTGAACATGACGTCAATGAAGAGGACGGTCACACTGTCTTTCCGTGTTTTACTGCACAAATGTACATGAATAAAATGGATAATAAAGAAATTATTACACTCTAGCAAGTGTCATATGGCATACGACGATCGTGCAAAATTATGTAATGCCCTCGCCCTCGCTCTCGCTCGGGCAATACAAACTTTCACACACGTTCCGTATAAGTCGTATGACACACATGCTCGTGTAATGATCTCTGTATATTGCAATACTGGTATGCGTATTGCCATACGTATTCCGACATATTGGGAGCTGACAGTGAGTGCGTGAGGCCATGGATCCAAATGATATGATTCTGATAACATAAGCCTAAGAAATAGATTGGATAGTTAAGAAGTATTTCTTTTTAAGACAATTCACAGTATGTATATTATACCGTTTTGTTAATTAAGTATAATTAACTGGAAGGGAAACTTCAGAGGCGAATGAATGTGTTGGTTTTAACTGAAACCATAACGATTATGACAGAAGACCGGTTGCAACCCTTTACCCAATACGCGGTTCTCAGAAAATATTCTGAAAAATAATGCAATACGTATCGTCTGCAAGTAATAGTAGAAGTAGTAGTAGCTGTTAGTAGCAGTAGCAGTAGTAGCAGCAGTAGTAGTAGTTGTAGCAGCAGCAGCAGTAGAAGTAGTAGTTGTTGTTGTAGCAGCAGCAGCAGTAGCAGTAGTTGTTGTAGCAGCAGTAGTATTAGTTGTTGTAGCAGCTGACTCCGAGGCGACCAGTCCTTGATTAACCCATTCATGCCGAGCGCCAGGCAGGGACCAACAAGTACCATATTTTAAGGTCTTTTGGTATGACGCGGGCGGGGGTCGAACTCCGGGCTCTCCGGGTGGACGATCTAACCACTACAGCACGGGGGCAGTTCGAAACACAATACTGATGGGTGGATGGGAACGTATTTGTAGTGTATAAAACCGCCTCGATTTTCAAACGCTCATTCACTCGACGAAGAACACTGCAAATGAGTCTTCCAATGGCAATTTAAGGAAAACCGTCCGACTCCTCATGCAGCGCCTCGCCAAGTTCAGGCAACTGGTCGGCATTATTGCTGGTCATGGCATTACATGGGTGTTGTGGTGCTGGAGGGTGTCCTGATGGTTCTGTAGAGACCTCTCCTTGCACATCGTGTGAGTGAGTCGGGGCTTAACGCGGCTTTTAGCAATGTTCAAGTACAGATCCAAGTGCAGATCCATGTACAGATCCAAGTACAGATCCAAGTACAGATCCAAGTGCAGATCCATGTACAGATCCAAGTACAGATCCACGTACAGATCCAAGTACAGATCCAAGTACAGATCCAAGTACAGATCCAAGTACAGATCCATATCCAAGTACAGATCCATGTACAGATCCAAGTACAGATCCAAGTACAGATCCAAGTACAGATCCAAGTACTCACCGTACAGGTGAAAACAGCCACATTTGATATATGTTGGAGGACAGAACC